TAAGCACAATCTTCAGACCACAATTTTTGCTGATGATACTCAGATTTATGTAACTTGTGATAGTCGGTGTGATTATTCTGTAGTGTCAGACATAGAGAAATGTATTGATGAGATCCGGGTGTGGATGCTTTCAAATAAGCTGGCTCTAAATGACACTAAAACGGAAATAATCTGGTTTTCATCTAAATTTAAAGATAGAAAGGACTGTGCTACTAACACTAATGTTCGCATTGGCAATGTGTCTGTGAAAGCATCTGTCAGTGCGAGAAATTTAGGTGTGTTTTTTGATTCAGCTGGGATCTTTGACAAGCATATAGACAATGTTTGTAAGTCGGCATCTTTTTCACTGTGGAGAATAGGGAAGATTCGGAATTTACTAAATATAGAAACAACTACAAAATTAGTTCATGCTTTTATTACATCAAAATTAGATTATTGCAACAGTATTCTTTTTGGGGTGAGTGACAGCAAATTGAAAAAAATCCAATTGATTCAAAATTCAGCGGCCAGATTAGTTAAAAAGATAAGGAACCAGAGCTTGGATCATATCACTCCAGTGTTAAAGGAATTGCATTGGCTGCCAATCAAACAAAGAATTTTATTCAAAGTGTTGTGCATAATTTTTAGAGCTTTTAAAGAAAACACACCTGGTTATATTGCACATCTTATTCAGTCATCTGAACCACGCAGGTTAACAAGAAACTCTTTTGAAAACAATTTTATACTCAATCACTGTGAAATAGACAGAAAATGCAACAAATTCTATGGAGACCGGGCTTTTACTGTTTATGCTCCAAAATTGTGGAACAAATTGCCTTTTAGTATCAGAGCTGAAAGTGACTATAATACTTTTAAAGCCTGTCTTAAAACTCATCTTTTTAAAGAATTTTATGGCTAGTGTTCCTTTAAACCTTTTAGTTGTTTATCATTTATTAAGAGTGAGCTTGGGTTAATTTTAGTAGTATTTTAAAGTTATATCAATAAATTTTCTCTGCTTTCTTTAATTAATTAATTTTATCAGTAAATGTTAAAGTATTTTAGTATTGTTATTTTTAGACTTTTTAATTATTTGTAAAGTGCATTGAAATGTAAAAAATGGAATGCGCTATATAAGAAATAAATATTATTATTATTATTAAAAAACAGGTTTGTCTTCAATTTTAATGCAATATTACTTTGTTTACCAGCAAAATCACAATCACTTTTTCATTATGTGCACAAGTAAATAAAGGGATTGCAACTCTTCATTTGGCAAGAAAATTGACACAAAACAGCCTTTCCTGGGGTAAACAATGCTTTTACCACACTAAACAGTGGTTCACCAATCCTTTCTGACAGTTACCCGGTAGTCCACTGAGACTACAACACACTTTAAGGTGATGCCATGGGTGTATGTACAGATGCACAACAAAGACATACCCATCCCTATATATGATAATAAAAACTATCATAAATCAATCACTTTTGTCAAAAACTCATGAAATTTCACCAACCAGATATTGTTAATGAGGGCCCAAAGCAGCCCAGAGAGCTTGCAATTGTTTCTTGAGGAATCACAAGAGCGAACTTTTTGACAAAAATCTGGTGACAGAAATCCCATGCCTGATCCCAGAAAGATATTGATGACATATAAACATAGCACTGATACCAAATAGATCTAGATATAATAATATCAAATAACAGTGGCAGATTCAGAGGGGGGTCAGGGGGGTCCTGACCCCCCCCCCCCTTCGATTTCTGGTCCCCTCTTGAAATCAGAATTTTGACCAGCTGAAACAGTTCTAAACCGTACCAAATGACACCCTTCGCACACTAAAATAAGAAATCTTTGGGGGGCATCTCTAATCACTTTACCCGAGTTCCCCTAGTACTGCCTTCCTGATGTGTTGACCACTGTCCTCTACGAGTGACCCACTCCTTGTTCTCAAGTAGAGACTTAATTGGGTTTGCTGGGTGGAAATAGTACTGACAGCATATAGCTTTACTTCTGCATTTACGCCCTGGAGCTGAGAGAAAGCATACAATTTTATAGTCTGAATGAAGTGAAAACAATGATGTAAAAATGGGAAGGATCTAAGTGCAAGTGAAATCTCTGCAACATATATGGAAAAGATAAATTGAAATGATGATATTGTAATGTTTTAAAACTTGAATTACGTACTATACAAGTTATGATAATGTATCATACAATGCCAACTGTTATGCCTTACTTCTTTACTGTTGTTTCAATCACTAGAAGTAGTGAGAAATAGTAGTAGTAAACAATTTGATTTATTCTGTTGGTCAATAGCTACTCAGCTAATGCTTGTACTTTCACTCTTTCCAACACGAAATAAACTGTGTTGTATATTGTATTGTACTATTGGGTTGCAGCTGGGTAAGGTAGCACATGCTACTCTTTCTCTTTCTCTCTCTCTCTCTCTCTCTCTTACACACACACACACACACACATTCTCTCCCACTCTGTCTCTCTATCTCCTTCTTTCTCTCTTCCCCCCTTTCTCTTCCTCTTGTAAACTAAACTCTCTCTCAGTGACTCTCTTTCAAACACACACACACACACTCTCTCTCTCTCTCTCCTGCTGTCTCTCTATCTCCTTTCTCTTCCTCTTGTAAACTCTCTCTCTCTCTCTCTCTCTCAAACACGCGCACACACACACATGCACACACAAAAACTCTCTCTCCCTCTCCTCTCTGTCTCTTTCTTTCTCTTTTGCCCTTTTACACTCTCTCTCTCTCTCTCTCTCACACACACACACACACATACACCCTAAAATCCCTGTGCATTTTTGTATAAGCTGATAAACAGATTTATTTTATTAATTAACTAATTATTAAGAAATGGATCACAACAAAAATCAGGTTTTTTGTTTCTCAGCCTCCTCAGTTTCTACAAATGTCATCAAACTCTATTTATAAACACCTTTTTGCACGTTTCTAGGATTCTAGGACAACTTCCCCCAGGACAATTCTCCCCAAGGAATATATATTTATATACAAATATAAAGTAAAAAGTTTAAAAAGTAAAGTTTAAAACATTTTATCCATTTTAGTGTGATAATACAACTTGATCATAAAACAAATTATTTTATAACAAATTCCTTTTGCATTAAATACAACTTCAAGTACAGAAAGTTTTATTAAATATCTAATCAAAGTGTAACCACCTATCCTCCAGGTAAAGGTGGGGTACACAGAGGAACAGGTAAACAGACGCTTTATGAATATTTGTAGTGTTTGGGGTAGTGGGTAGGTGGGTAGCTGTCAAGTAATTAAAAGTGACAGGGAATAGTCCTGATAATCATTAGGACAGATGAACTCAGTACACAACCTGATTCGTGGAGGTAATAAATTATGATTTAAAACCTGTCACTGGGCAAAAATTAATTCTTAATCTTAATTACTAAATATGTCAATTGCATGTCAAGTAATAAATTTGCACATAATCATTATTCATATTTTGCTCCATTTGTCTGTCTTCCACTATAGATTGTAAAATGTAACAAATTGTTGTAATTCACACCAGGTGCATTTCTACAATCCCTCTTCTCTCCCAGTTCAAAGAGTGTCATTTCAATATTTCAAGTTGTTATCAAGTCAGTCAACCATAAAAGGAATGCTGAGCTGTAGTCAACAAATGAAATTCTAGCATAATGATAATAATAATAATAATAATAATAATAATAACAATAATAATAATAAATCAATATATACTTGAACGAATCAAATGTCAAAACAAGGAAAATTTAGTGGTTAAAAAAGGCTATAACACATCCCTCTGCTCTCACTGGTTTTTATATGCACAGGTAATTACTGATTAAGATATCATTATACAAACTTAGCACTGCTACAAAATCTATGAAAATGTAAATATGACAATGACAGTGTCAACTGTATTGTGGCCAACTGATGACCCCATCACTAATGGTCAGTTTACCTGAGTGTCCCTACTGCTGTCTTCCTGACTTGTTGACCACTGTCCACTACGAGTGACCCACTCATACATAGTTCTCAAGAAGTTCCTTTGGTTGCCGGATAGAAATAGTGCTGCAAGCACATAGCTTTTCTTCTCCATTTGGGGGCGTCTCGATAGTCCGAAGGTTCATTGGTCCGAAGGTTCATTTACGCCCTGGAGCTGAGGGAAATTTTACAATGTTAGTCCACCACATACCGGTACTCTCCCCGCTGATTGGAAAATGTGTGTGTGTGTGTGAGTGAGAGAAAAAGAGGGGGGGGGGGGGGATTAACCCTCTCTTAACCCACCCCAGCTCCTATGTCTACGTATCGGTTCTCTTGTTGCCACAACGCGCTGGATTCTCTGCGTTTCCCGGGAGTTGAAGAGTTAACGCGGTCAGCGCCATTTTAGGGAGAGACAGATGAAATAGAAATGTCTCAAGATATCTGCAAAACTGTACACTGTGAAATTAATAAATAATTGGGGTTCTTTTTTCAAATTTCTAAAATATTGTAATATACCTTACTTTCAGTAACTTCACTCATGTCAATTTTTTTGGTAACTTGATAACTTTCTCTCAACATATTCCCCCCAAAATGTTCCACACTAGAAAAAATCGATAATCGTATGGGAGAATTATACAGGCAATTAACCTACTTCACAAGGGCGGCAATCATCGCTATTTTACCACTTTTATGACCTGGGAGAGATTACGTCATATACACTTGGGATATGATGATTATTTATGATCGTTTAACTAATAAACTGCGCGTATTGATAAAATATTCACAAGTGTATCAGTGAAAAAGGAACATTTATATTTGAAAATTAGGAAAAAAACGTGTAATGAACCCAAAACAAACAAAAAAACTGCATTTTTCTCTTATATGCAAATTAGCTTGTCTTCAGTAATAAAGCTGACAGGAAGTGATGCTCAAACCAGAGATTCCAAAGGTGGCGATCTTTATTAATCTTTATTTTGATATTAAATCATTCGATAATATTTTTATCAGTAAAATATAATTGAAGCTACCAAATTAAATTTTCCTGGAGAATTTTTTTCTTATTGCGAACCAATGCTCGACTCGTTCCTGGGAAGAATTTAGTAACAGCCAGAAGGTCCTGAGAGGGGGCCGTAGCGATAGTCCGAAGGTTCATTAGTCCGAAGGTTCAATGGTCCGAATGTGCATTGAAGGTTCATTGGTCCGAAGGTTCGATAGTCCGAAGGTGCATTGGTCCGAAGGTTCATTAGTCCGAAGGTTCGATAGTCCGAATGTAGGCCCGCTGTATAAGTGTATAGTGAATTACATGTACAGGGGTGGATCCAAGATTATTTGAAGGGGGGTCCGCGGATGCAAAGCCCCCACCCCCCTTGGCGTAGGATCTGGGGCCCGCTAAAGGGCCCCGAAAATTGTTGGTGTCTCAAAATGACCACCTAGTTATCTAGAGACACATCTGTGAATATCTGTAAAAAATCTATCAGTCGCCCTGGTAGAGGGTTTAAAAGTTAGGTCTGCACGGGCAAAAATAACGTCAATACTAGCATATTACATTAGTTACAAAAAAAAAACAAAAAACAGATCTTGATGTTTTTCATGGGATTGGAAGTTGACGATATTTAACTGCAAATGTTTATTTTGTAAAATCAAATGGAAATTTTCTCACGAGTCACAAGTGTATCTACTTTTTGCAGAGTACGTTTTTCTTCGTTTAAATGAATTTGTTACAAAGACAGCATTTTTGATGTTGTTCATCAGATTAGAAGTTTAACTGTTTTAGAATATTTCAACATGTTCAAACTGCCTTCTCACTTGTATTTTACGTTTAATAAATAAATAAATAAATAAATAAATAAATAA